TCTGTGATATTAATAATGTAAATATTATACATATCCACACTCCTTTATATTTTTCTATATATTTTATATTCATACTCTTATATTTATATTTTTCTTATCAATGTACTTTCTATTATTGTCATCTTGACCAACTTTTTCACTGTAATCTCTAACCTTAATCTTAGATTTGTGGGATCTGGAAGTAAAAAAAAGTATCACATTGTTGTTGTTTTTTAATGCACTATTCCTATCCAGACAAATGGAGTGAATACTGTTGAGAGAGTTTATGTCATAAGGCTGCATTTTTTAGAGATTAGTATGATTAGAAATGCCAATGTGATTTTGAATGAGTTTTTTTCCATTGGCTCTACATTGAGATGTTACAAGCTTCAATGCATCTTGTTTACAAAATAAAACAACTTCTAATTTCTAAATCCTTTTCTTCCCTAATGGGACATAAGGCTTTGATGATCTGCCACCAGCTGGACCGGTCTTGTGCTACATGCTGGGCCTCGCCCCATGTAAGATGCATCTCATTTATCTTAGCTGTCACAGTTAGCCGACAAGTTGTTTTGGGCCGACCTGGCTTCATTTTACATGATGGAGTCCATCCTAGTGCAACCTTTGGGATTCAGTCCTGGGCTATTCTGAAGACATGCTCTACCCATCAGATCAGTACCATACTGTAAGACTTAGTCTTCTTGTATAGCTGTTCATTTGAGAGCTTCTCTGGCCAGAAGATGTGGCAAATTTTCATGTGTTGTCACTCGCCAGCATTCTGAGCCACACAACAGCACAGGTTGTACGTTGCTGTTGTACAGCAGGATCATTGTTCTTAAACTGTACTGCTTTGACTTCCAGATAGGCTGAAGCCTAGCACGAGCAATGAAAGTCTTCCCAAGCCTAGCTCTGATGTCCTTTTGTGCTGCATTGTCTTTGCTGATCTGAACTTTGACAGGAGTAAGATTACTTCTTGGCTTTGGTTGCTCTGCAATGATTTTGCGACACTTAATTAATTTAAATAAACTACATAGAACGATATTATTAACTATCAAAGCTGAAGATAACTACTACTATTACTGCTATATTAACAGCTTTATTAAAAATCACAAATAAAAATTGCCTTTGAAGAGTGAAGCATAAAACAAAGATCGCTATTTGTTTTCTGTCCAGATTTTCATTAAAACAGTTGTCTTCGTGATGGGTAAATGATGATGTATCATTATCCTACTGTTTCACCTAATTTGTATATCTTATTGTACTGGGATAAACTACGCACTGCTGGAATTGTGATTAATTTCTCACAAATATTCCCCCGGGACAGGGAGCTTTTACTCTGAAGTGCCTGGGTCAATAGCTGCTGATACACATGGCTAAACTATAAATCTATCCTTGTGTCCATTCTTTAAATAATTCATCAGGAGGCGGGTTTGAGCCTTACATTTGGATGGGAATTTGTCCGCATGTGTCTGTCCTTAAACAGATTGGAGCTTGTTTTAATGCAGTCTCTTTCATCTAAATGATATAGAAACCATCTCCCAGAGGAATTACCAACCAGCTGAGAGCCACTCTTCAGGGCTGATGCTAGTGTTTTCTGCTGTGTTCTAAAGGGAAATAAACACACAAACCAACAAACAGTGTTCACTACAGGCACATAAAAGGACCAGATCCCTCAGAATCAAACAAAAGACAACACAAATTTTGTCTCATTAAACTCTTGGCATGTGGTATTTCTTGTAACAAGAATGGTAAATTTTGAAACACACAATGAGGCAATGTTTCACAATGTCCTTATTTTACTCATGAAACTAAGGGCCAGACTCTTTGTTTTACTCAGGATGTCCTGTCTGACGGGACAAAGCAGACATGAAACAAGGAAAAGAGATGTAGCGTCTGTTCACTGCTGAGTTGGTTCACAGCCACTGAGGAACAGATACCTGTTGACAACTTTTGGTGTGAGCCAGTTTTGCGGGGATTTATTTTTAATTTTTAATTTTTTTCTTTACAAAGGGCTCTAAAAGCTTTTGGGGACATTTACAGCCCACACAGGAGCACCAAGACATTTGTGATGCAATGTTTTGGAGTAAATCATTTTACTTAAAATACTCAACAAGCAAGGCAGCCTCTTCACTCAGCTGCCCCCTCTGGACTGGGGATCTGAATTGATTTCCTCTGCTAAGCCTATAGATTACTGCTGACCCACAAACATATTTACTCCAAACACTCCAGTGCCTGACCCTGAATTAGGCCTCTAGCAGCAAGCCTGTTTATATTTTGAATGTTAAAGTGCCAATCCACAACATCCATGTTTTCCAATTCTGACAATAGCTAAGCACTTGTGGTGTTTTTTGCCTTGAACTTAGAGAGTGGTGTACCTAAACACATTTGTGCATGTACTGTATTTAAGCACAAATTGGAGGTGCTTGTACTTTCCTTGAGTATTTCCATTTTATGCAACTTTATACTTCTGCTCCACTATCTCTAGGAGGCAAATATTGTAACTGCACTGCATTTGTCTGTGCTACAGCCGTAAAATGCAACATACACATTTATGCAGCAGTACTGCTTATCCAGAAACATCATATATAGTAGGAAAACACTGACAGGGGCCATTTTTCTGCATCATGAGCACTTTTACTTTTGCTACTTTAAGTACTTTCCTGAAAATACTTACATACTTTTACTTAAGTAAGGTTTTCAAAGAAGGATTTTTACTTGTCGTGGCGTATTTCCACAGTGTGGTATCAGTACTTTTACTTAAGTAAAGGATCTGAATGCTTCTTCCACCACTGCACTTAGATATCATCTGTCAATCAAAGGGAAATGTGACATCTTTTTGCTTGGGTTTTCTGCAAATTAAAGCAAGACTAGCTACAGTATTGAGAGAAGAAATAACATATTTTCCTCTAACAAATGAAAAGTATAACTCACAGCAATAAATACCCTCATTGCTAAAAACCTTTTACTGCTCCAGCCTAATTTGGTCTGGTGTGACCAGTAGCTTGTGGTCGCTTATGTTAGGTATGGCTGTAACGCATACTTCTGATTCAGTTAGCTGGCTTAAATGACTCTTTTCAACTTTAAAAGTAGTTTAGCATTTAGCAGTGGCCGTTGTTCAACAAAAGTTACACAGTCTCACTTTAAAAAGGAGCAATCCACTAATTTTAATAATCAGGTTTTTTTTACTCGTCATGAGGCGTCTTACACAGCCTTCAAATGAGGTAGTTGGCTATGAAGGGAGCCCTCTGCTGCTTTGATTTTTAATGATTCCTTTCTGATCTGTCCTTTGTGAGTCCCCCCAACTTTACAGAAGAACAATACTTAATCGCTGAAGTACCCCTTTAAGATTCAGTATTGTTTTTTATATGTCTGTCAAGAATCTGCTATTCTGAACAAGCTGTGTGTCAGAGATTTTTCTCCCATGAAATACCTACCAGACACCAAAATGTAAAAGCTGTCATGACCTTGATGTGGGTTGTCATTTTTTTATATTCATTATGTATGTGTTAACTGTTACGTACATAAAACCAGCATGTCTAAAATGGATTGATTAAAGTTGCAAGGATTCTCATTCACATTGTCAGCTTTCACATGCCAGACATAGATCAAGAGTTTGTTCTTTCTGAGTGGAGAGAATCTGTCAGAACCAGTCTGGCAGGAACTTGTTTTCTAGCAGAGGTGTTGAATGGTATGAACCTGTAGAACAACAGTATCACATAGCCTAACTAGCAAATGCTTTTATTCAAATCTCCGTGAAGACAGGTTATAATAGAGATGCGTGGGGAAATTGCTGATGACCAATTTTAAACCCAAAATAGCGGCTTTGAGGAGAGGTGGGAACACACCATCGGCTCGGGTCACACTCTCCAGGTTGACTGGATGTGGTGTTTAACTGTGTTTACCCTTTCAAAGACCGCCTTGTATGGATATGGTTGTTCATAGACCCTGATTGGCAAATATCTCCTGTCTGTGCCGAGCCGGGCAGTGGCGTTGGAATATTCTGTGGCGGCTAATAGCTTTATTGAATCGGAAGAGCTGACCCCATTAAACGCAGCTGAACATCCTAGACTAAAGTCAACACAAAGCAGAGCTGCCTTTGCAGTTTGTCGAAAAAGAGACAGCACATGTTGCTCTCATGAGGCACGAATTCAATATTGTCACCTATACAAACCAGTCCTGCACTATTGTTCTGTATCACTCACATGCCTCATGTCACTGGGTTTCCTCATGCAAGGCCTGCTGTGTGTCAAAACAAATGAATGACAACGAACAAGAGCCGCATTTCATTTTATGTGTGATATATGGGCCTATTTCTGTTCTCCTGTTTTTCATGGTCTGGGTTGACACAAGACCCATACAGGATATCATATGCCTGCCTCCCCATTGTTTGTTTTGCCCAGGAAACAGGATATTCACACAGAGAGCAGACCAGCTGACCACAGTGTAAAAAAAAGGAGTGATTTTCTACTTTTAAAACAGTAAGCAGGCTTCAGTCTCTTCTTTCCTCCCATCCTTTCGGTTTAAGGTATCGCAGAAGTGTCCACAAACTGTCCACAAACCATGACCATCTCCAATATAAGTTTCTGTCCAGCAAAGCACTCATGTTTACATGTCAACAGTGGAACACCTAGTTGACGTTAAGTCAGCAGAAGTCAAGTAAAAGTCATGTAAGCTATATGCGAGTTCGCAGGAGGCGTGGGTCCATTTACACTCAAACAGCAAATCAGCGGTGTTTTGAAGTGATGTAGTAAGGAATAAGAACAAAAGACATGTTTCTCTGCAGAAAGAGCATTGATTAGAGCATTTAAAGGCAACAAATAACGCAAACGTTAAACACGTTTTTAAAGGCAAATAAGAGCGTAGTGTGCAAGTTATTGAAAATGCAAGATAACAAAACGAACCGTGCGGCAGCCAGAAAAGCTGTTACAGGTGATCACACAGCCGGGTATCATTTTACGGTTAAACTAAATGTCAAATGAGCTCCAAATGGTTGTATTTGATGAAAATGAAACGTTTCTCACCTTATGTCTTTTGTCTGATCTGATCGCTGCCACTTATTGTCTGTCCTCGGAGCGTCTCAGCTGGCACCGGGTCAGTCAAATAAATCCGCCTCTTTCTTAAAAGCCGAGACTTTCAGAATAAGAGATTTGAATGAAGAGTTGGTTTTGCAGAGTTGATCAGAAATCGGGCTGAAAAGTCCAAGAGGGGAAGCTATTGCCTTTTCGGCATAACAACCTTGTCTCTGACACTAGTCAGTCCCATCCATTCACACTCCCCGCCTCCTCTCCACTACCTTCCACAGATTTAGGACGGGGCAGATGAATTTCCCTCTGTATGACATTCATGGTCAATGGAGGAGCGCACTCTGCTGCGTAAACACACTACTAACAGTGGAAATTAAAGTGTAAAAATTAAAATAATATTCCATTAAAGACTCCACGTTTTTTTTACAGCTAAAATGTTCATTCATCCATTTATGATCCTAAGTTGTGTGTAATAGTATGATATTTATATTGATGCTCTAGGACTTTTTTTTACTGTACACAGTAATATACCACAGTGTTGCACTGCAGCCTATAGTGTGGGTTAATCTTGTCAGACCAATATTTTTTTCGCAATTCAATAAAATGCTCTTTAATTTATTTATACTATGTGTGATGTAAAAGGGGTCTCTCCTAGTGACTAACCCAAAGAGAATTACCACCCGACCCTACTACTCTACAGAGCATTTTATAGTAATGGCTTTGATTTTGGTGCCTTCAACTTTAAATGTGTTCACTCTCATCAGTTTTTTTCCAGCAGCAGCAGGAAGTTGCATTTTCAGCAACAAAAGCTCTGATAAACCCACTGGGCACCAAATGGCAGACATAGTTAGTGTGACTAGCTGGTAAAAAAAAAAGTGGAGCATTTAGCAGCTAAAGAGCCATATTGTCTTGGTACTTGAGTACTTGGTGGAGACCAAAACTGAACAACATGGAGACTTACTATTGGACTTAATTCATCAGTTAACCAGAAACATCTATCTGTCTGATTTTACAAAATATGCCTGTGAATATTATAAAAGAAAGTCAGAATCGTCAATCAATCAGAGTTACAAGAATGGATTTACAGGTTTGTCAGAACATAATATTTATGATTTTGACACATTGTAGATTTTCCAATGACTACACGGTAAGAGGAAGGAAAGAGTGCCACACTGTTGTGGCTTCATGTCAGGCTGAACAATGGAAAAGCCCAGTAATCCAGACACTGCAGCAGCAAGGAAATGGGAGGGATGTAACTGTCCAGTTTATTATAAACCAGTTGAACCAAGTGTCAGGTCAGCTCCAAGGTGACATTTGGCTATCTCAGTTGTGCATTCACAGCGAGCAGGGAAAAAAGGTGAGTCTTCATGTCTAGGCAAAAGCCTGGTGTGTTACTGGAGCAAAATGCTTTTTTCTAAGTTTAAATGAGTCCCCAAAGGGACAGCCCCATCCCCCTCCCCATTTGTGAGGATTTCTGTGAGCATGTGATTAGGCTCACCCCTGTGCCATGTGTGCACCAAGTACCCCCCCCCCCCCCCCCATGCACACCCATTGAGATTAGCCCACTTGCTATTGTTCCGTTGACACTTCATACAAGCTATACTGTCATGATAATACAAAGACAGCATTGCATTACGTGGTGATTTTGAAGAATAAGAAATATGTTTATTGTTCTCTATTTTGAATTGCAAACAGACATGCACAAACAAAATTCCGGGTATGAGCCACACAAGCAAAATTTTTATTTACATCATGTGAAGATGCCAGTACTTTGATAAGATAAAAAATGCAAAATGCATTCATTAAATGAAAACCAGAGATTTGTAGCTCAGGTTAAACAACTAAGTTTACCAGAGAATGCAAACAGTCTAAGTGACTGTCTTGTTTGTGCAGAGGGGGTAAACTATGAATTTTAAGTACAAGGGGATTATGTTGTGCTCATGGAACAGATGTTAACATGGAGAGGTCTACTCTCCTGAGAGCAGCCCCTGACTGACACACTGTCCCACAGTCATTGGCCCATTGTCAGTGTGCATCCTCTCTTCTGAGTCTTTAGTTGCAGATTGCCCCCACCCCCACCAGGAGAGATTAACTCTGCCCCCTTACCATCAGCCTTGACCTTGATGGACTGGTAATGTCATTTTCTTTTGTGCTTTGACAGAAATCAACTCCTGCCAACTTTCATGCTTCCCTTTAAAGCAAATGTTACGCATTCATGAATGGCTATAGAGCCAAACAAAGGATGGATGACAATAAATTGCATCAACAATAAGTGAGCTCTGACCCCTCCATCCCATCTCATCCTCTCATCAGACCTCTAAGCAGGTCAGCTGTTGTGCTGTTGTCCTCGTGCCACCAGTCTTCATTCTTCTTCAAAGCTTGCTCATTTCAGTGTGTCTTTAGTATTTTACAGGTCATGGTGAATGACTGTAGATATGTTACCCTTCCCCCCTATCTTCTTGTAAAAATCACGACCACTTTCTTGAAAAACTGGGTGCAGGAATATGTTGCTATGTAAAACATTTGTGATACAACCCACAATCCATGTGCAGTGACAGTTCTAATCTAAAGCAGTGAGAAATGATGTGTGATTACTGCACAGTACTTGCTTAATTTAAGTCACAGCAAGTTAAAAACAATAGGAAAACATTTTCAAATTTATTTTTTTCCAATTGATTGTTTTTTTTAAATGAGTCTCTGCCAAACAAGTGACCATTCACTAAGCCTTAGCCCGCACATCCTTAGTTTCTGTTGCTACATCTGTCAAGCTTTCTATTCTCATGGGCAGTTTAAAGTAACTATGGGGGCAGCTTTACCACATGGAAATTGACAGTGAGTCTTCGGTTTCACTGAGAAATGAGAACTTTTGTGTGAAACTTTCACATAAAAGTTCTCATTTCTTGCACACAATGGTGGATTTTGCTGGCTGAGGTAACAACTAATGCTAATTATGTTAGGCAAGGTTTTATGAGCTGTAAATACCTAGCATTAGCTATTGGTAACTCCTAAAAACGGTTGAAAAGTCTGTCAACCTGCTCCTTGCCTGTGGAAGAAATGTAGGTTACTAAGCCAGCTAGGACGAAGTAAGCTAGCAGATAGTATAAACAGTAGACAGCAGAATACTGTTAAATCCTTTTCTTACACTTGCTTTTCGTTTTCATTTTTGGTTTTAGTAAGGCATAAAAACCTCAAACCCTCCCTCTGAGCTTTTCAAATGCTGTGTTTTGGGCCCCACATAGCCTCACGCACATTGCTTTGTAAAGACATTCAAAGTTTGATTCATGATTAGTGAATTCAGGCAACATTGGGAGGACTCAAACGCATATAAATGAAGCATGAATGAACATTTACTGAAGGCAATGGTAAGTAACAGACTTACAAGTCAATGGGAAGGCAGTATAAACTATGGAAGCATATCTAGGACTTATTTCAAATTTTAATGTTAACTTGAAAATGAAACTGTAATTCCACAATAACATTATCATTTTCCACATATGTATGTGTTATTAGGTAGAAATGAAAATGCAATGATCCAATTTTCATTTTAATTTTCACATACTTTTGTGGGTATTCTAGGACCATATAAAAATTAAAATAGAAACAGCATTTGACATTTCATTTTAACAGACATGAAAGTGAAATAGCACCCCCAGTCTGTAGGATTAGCATTTCGATTTTACCATGGTCTTTTTATGTCAAAATTAAAATTAAAATGCCATTTTTTAACTTTTTAAAAATGAAAATGAGAACTGCATTTGACATTTCATTTTCAAAGATTTAATCTGCTCTATAGTGGACTTTATTCAAATGCAATAAGTGAAACAGCGCCCCCAGTTTATTGCATTTGGATTTTCATTTACAAGCCGCTTTTCAATGCAAATTAAAATACAATCTTTCAGTCCTCTCATCAAGGCGGGTCTTCAGTTAAGACGTTAGTTACTCTTCAGCTACAAGGCAACTTCACGTTCACATGGTTCAGTAGTTACCATTACAAAACACAAGGCTGTAACTTCACAACCAAATGAAACCTATTGACTGAACAGCTCATGGATGGATCTATATCTACTTCAAACATAGCACCTGTAAGTTTCATCATTTTTATGTTGCTTTTCTGTTGAACTTGGCATTAGCACATTCTGCAGCTGAAGTGGCTAACTTGAATGGGAGTTAAATTATATATGTGCGGCTGTAATAGTCTTTCTAAATGTTATTGACCGAGTAGATCACTCTTATTGTGAAACAAGTCATTTCGCATGGATTGTGACGCTCAAATTTACCCAGTCGACCAATCATACCTGTCTCTATCACCAAATTACATCACCCCTATGGATCTCTAATAACTTCCTGCAACTGAACAAATGATTTCAAACAAATCAAGACAGGGGTTTTAGTCAATGATGAAAAGGCCCATAGAGAGATACTGTGCACCACCTTGCAATCTCTAGCACTAAAGCTAAGTTAAGCCCCTAGCAAAAAATCTTGGCGCAATCTTAGACCATGACTTAAATTTTGAATCTCACATCAACGTCACTAAAAATTAGTTTTTTGAGGCCTCGTTTCCTTGCCACAGGAAAAATGCAGCTAATTGCGAATGCAATATTGCTAAGACATTAGCTAGGCTGTCCATACATAAGCACATTAACATACTTTGAACATTAACAGTTAAATACCCCACTTATCTTTATTTTTCATCATGAGAAAGGGATAACATTTACCTGTCCACTCCCCTGCATGTCTTGTGCTGTACCTAGCCAAATTCACAGTGGCTTTACACTCAAGTCAACCACATCTTTTACGCTCTTTGATAATTAGGCCACACAAAATTTGAATCAGTGTGCGTTTCCATCACTGTGTTATGCCAGTTTAAAATGCACTCCCCTAATCAGCAGTGGGATCAAAAGGTAAGTTTGTCAGGGTGACTTCTGACAGCTGCTTATATGCAATGCAAAAGATGAAAATGAACACACAACGTTCTTAGGCTTTCAATGTAGGTATTGAAACTGAAATAACTGAGGATAGCCACTGTGCCGTGTCTTTAATGCCTCGAAACTTTGAACCTTTTCGGCACAATCAGGAGGAAGCCTCAAAACGTTAAGAGGCTTTGTCTGCCCATCATCACTTTATGGGCCGAGAGTGCATTACCACGAAGTAGACAAAAACAGTCTAACCATGAATAGCAGGAGACAAGGAGTATTTGAGCAGCAGAGTTGATGAGTTGATT